GTCAGGGGACCGCGGTGGGCGGGTGATGACACCTTAACTGCCATTTATTTATTTATTTTAACGCTTTCTTCATAACATTAAAACCAAAACAAAATCATTCGTTATTATTCGCCTGTTCGTTTGGCTGTGTATTTTCTTTTCCTTTTCTTTTCCTTGGTTTAACATTGATCACGTTTCGCCCTGTTTTTTTTTTTTTTTTCCCTCCCCCCCCCCCTTTTGCAACCAACTCTTGCACGGGCACAGAGTAAGTCACCGGGGGGCCGGGGCGCGGGCGCGAGCGCAGCCTGCGCGTTGGGGCCGCTGCTCCCCTCCGCGCTGCACCCCGGCTCCTGGCCGGCGCCGCGCGTTGCTTCGCTCCCCTTGGGCCGCTCCAGTTATCCGAGACTCTCCCCACGCCGAGGGAGCTGAAACACGGTGTGGGGAGCTCGTCGGCAAGGGAAGTGCCTCTGGAGCGTTCAGGCTCTCCTCAGCTCGGTGGGGTTATCTAAGTGGCAGCATAACCTGGCTCTTAAATACAAACCTATTATTGTATGCATCCATGCCTCGAAAAACAAATCCAGAATTCATGTATTACCACTTTATAATCAACAAATGCTTGTCATGGATATGTTCTTTACATTTCAAGTGCAGTCCTTAGACTGATACTGCTAAGATTGTTTTTCACTTGAAATTCTTACAAGGCCATCAAAATGTTTATTTTTTTTCTCTTGTTTTAAATTGAGAGTATTAGTAAAAAGAACATAGAAGTTCTTTAATTTGAAAGCTACCAAAAAGGTGCATGGCTTTGATGCTAGCACAGAGATTTTCTTGGCTAAAAAAGGGGGAAAAATCTTGAGGCCTGTCTTTTTTTTACAATTGGCAGTATGAATCTATTTGCATAGCCTAATAATAATAATAAAACAGATAATAAAAAAGGTAACTTCATGGTGTAGTCGTGTTTATATATACGGATTAAATCCTGTAGAGACACATTTGATGGCTCTCCCTTTAGAAACCATCTTCCTAACAGGATTCTGATGGGAGATAAATAGCTCCATAGTGTCAGCAACAGTTTTTCAGGGTAACAGGGATGACTGTCTAGGTCAGTGTTTGTACAGTAGGATAGGACCCACGCTTTGCAGAGCTTTCCATGCCCTTTTTGCATAATTAATTTATTGCTACTGTGCTTGCATTAATTATTTCTTTATCATCACATTTAAAGCCTGTGATGTTAAACTGTTATCTTACTGCATATTAATCCCTAACTTGGAAGCCCCCATTACTATGATGTGAGAGAATCTTCAGGCATTGAAGTTGCATCCTTCTAACATCTATTCACTGAATTTCTGAATAATCTGGTAATGGGAACACTGTGTGCGAGAGTCTGGTTTAGCTTCTCTGCAGTGTCCCTTTAACAAAAAAATTGCCTCACTCTGCTGTAATTCAGTGGTTCCTACAATAATGGCTCTGATTAAGCTTCCTGTTCTGGTTAACTCTTAATCCATATTGCAAAATTGCTTTTTTTTTTTTTTTAAATGGGAAGAATAAATAAAGTAAAAAGTAATTGGCTTATTGTAGGTGCATTTAACACAAATTTGGGAACAGGTAGTAGTGCATTTCTTTTGTTATCCCCCTATGAAAAAATAGTCTGTAGAGACTTGACCCCTTTGTAAGGCCCCTGTCTAGTACCATTCTGTATTAATAAGGGCCATTGTTTTGCCTCAAATATACAGAAGTTCCATCACCGTTCCATTTTTATGTCAATAGCCTTTATATCAAAAGCAAAATTATGAAACTAAGGAAAATATTGTCATGTTTTTGCTTTCTCACATTTCTTGCTGGTCTTGGCAAAGATCCATAATGACCTTTCTTTCCCTCTGTAACACCTGATAAGTTGGTGTTAGTATTAGGAGATCTTCACATTCCGCACCGATGCAACAGCCTTCCAGCTAAATTCAAAAAACTGCTGGTTCCAGGAAAGATCCAACACATCCTCTGCACAGGAAACCTCTGCACCAAGGACACTTATGACTACCTCAAGACTCTGGCTGGGGATGTTCATGTTGTGCGAGGGGACTTTGATGAGGTATGTGCCTCCATGAGTTAAAGGCAGTATGAGGTTATTTGCAATTTAAGTAAAAGTGGGCAAACAGAGCATAGTATTAATTAATGAAATTCAAATTGAGTAAAAGAGGTGGAGTTATGATCAGTAACAGACTGGCCCAAGAAGTAACGTGTATGTATTTAAGTTCTCAGCAGTTTTGAAGAAGGAAGCTTTATAGCTTTTTCTACAGGAGAAGGACTAATTCCACAGAGTGTTTCCATAAGCTCCCACTTTCTTAGGTGCTATGTAATTATTTTTTGTTATAAATTTATACGTAATCCAACTTTTTTTTTTCCTTTAGAACCTGAATTACCCTGAACAGAAAGTTGTAACTGTTGGACAATTCAAAATCGGGCTGATTCATGGCCATCAGGTTATTCCTTGGGGTGATATGGCCAGCCTGGCGTTGCTACAAAGGCAGTTTGATGTGGACATCTTGATTTCAGGACATACACACAAATTTGAGGCATTTGAACATGAAAACAAATTCTATATCAATCCAGGATCAGCTACAGGAGCTTATCATGCCTTAGAGAAGTAAGTGAATTATGGGAAGTATCTGTGGAGATTTTCTATTATGCTTCTCCTTGATAACAAAATTGAACATCAGTAAATAATTATGAAGACTAGTGGATGTAGTTTTAAATGCCAGGGATGGGGTTTGACAGCACTTGTTGAATCTCCCTGCTTGAAACAAAGAGTAGTGAAATACTTAAAGCTGAGATTTGGTATATTGCGCTTACAGAACTCAAATCCCTGTTTCTTAAGAGTGACTTCTGTTAAGAAGTCTAGTATTCAAAAACTAAAGCTATTAATTGTATTTAATATTATCACTATTTTCCTCCTCTTTTTCTAGCAACATCATTCCTTCATTTGTGCTGATGGATATCCAAGCTTCTACTGTAGTTACGTATGTTTATCAGCTAATTGGAGACGATGTGAAAGTAGAAAGAATTGAGTACAAGAAATCTTGAAGTGTGCTTGCTTGTCTGCCGTTGTTACCATCTTATTCTGGAACTACAAGTTACTGAAATACTTGATTGCTAGTTTACAGTACCACATTTATTTGCTAACAGCTTAACAATGTAGCTCATTGGTCTCAACTTCAAACCAACGATGTGTTTGCTTATTTTCTCTTGTATGATTTGATTTGTAAAAATATTCCATTAACTGGGTTAAGTACTGTTCCCTAATGTTGTAATAAACTTTTTACTTCATAGAAAAACCAAGCTTTATGAACCATTGTTGAAAAATGTGAGTTATAACCTGCTTTTAAAGTGTCTGGCAGTACTTTTTCTTGATAGTGCTTAACAAATAGCCTTAGTGATTTATGTCTAATGGACGAATTAAGCAAAAGCCTCTTGTAACAGGTTTAAATACATTAAAGATAGAGGCTCTGGGAGGCATGTTAGGTTTCTTTCAGAGTCCATTTGATACTAAGCTTTCTCATTCCCAATTAAGTTGAAAGAGTAAATGGATTGATAGGTTCTGAAAAAAATACAATCCACTCATAACTGTAGTAACTTCACTGTAGAAAGTTTAACTTTAGTCTTTTTATATTCAAAGCGGTTTAAAACAGGCTTTACTGAATGATGGTCTAATTAATTCTGTAATCAGTGTAGAGGGGCTTTTCCTTTACTTTGCTTTTACTTTTGCTATCTATGTATCTGACACTGTATATATACACAGTTTGCTCCATGTACAAAAGTTTTAAATAATGTAATTCTGTATGGCACTGGTACTACTACTGAGGACTAAAAGATTGGTTGTTCATGAGAACTTTTGGCTCTCCTACTCTCAGCTGGCTCGAGGGAACTGAATGTACTTAACAGCCCCCACTTTTCATGACTGCTAGTTTTACAATAAAAACAGTTTTATCTTTTATCTTCTACAGAATACTTAGAATTCATAAGTGGCCTGTTTCCTTTACATATTTAGATCACTCTTATAGGTGCAGTATTTGTGAAAAGCTGTACAGTGTTACCATGGTCATGAAAGTTCAAGACTAATGGGATATCCACAAAGCTTAAAGGAGCAGCTGTGATCCTTCTGTCTCATAAGCTTTGACTCAATGCTTTATTCACAATAAACTTGCTTCACCTTAGAAAAAACTCAAGCATTTCATTCTGGCATCTTAGGGGGGAAAAATAATGTTTGGTTAACCTGCATATATTGCAACAAAATACATACTTATTGCTTACATAAAGCTTTAAAGGCAAAATAAATTTGTCAGTTTATTTCTCTTCACTGTAATTAAGATCAGGATTTGTGTACAAAATGCATTTACATGAGTTTAAAAGCTCAGTTTAAAAGTTTAGCACAATCGTAGAAGGTGATTATGTGAACGAGAGGCTTTAGAGATTCTGACAATAGACTTAGGAACAACAAGGATATGAGGTTAATGTAAAGAAAGTTTAAATATCAAAGTGCTGAATAAGAACTTCCATTTTTTTTTTTTTTTGAAAAAACAGGAAATCCCGCTGTAAGTCTAAACTGTTTTAACTGGGATAGAATATTTCTGCTGATACGGAGAAAAAACAGTCTAGATCAATTAAAAATCTGAAAAGTTTATGGTAGCTTTTGGGTAAAAGAGTTCAGTGTTATCAACAAGACCATGTATTCTTAATGTATGTTACTAAATGAGGCAGTGGAGGAAGAAAAGGCAGAGGATAAAGACGATCAATCACGGGTCTCCACTGGTCCATTTTGAAACACCTGGAAGGTAAGAGGACAATATAATAGAGTTTAGGAAAATCAGCTATAATTTAAGTCTTGTCGAAGTACTTGATTTTAAAGCTTAGCAATCCATAATTTGATTAAAATACATTTACTTGAATCAATAAGTATTTTACTCTATAGAATATATTTACTAAATTATTGGCTACCTAGGTTTTGGCTAAACAGTAGTTTAGAAAAAGGGAAAAAACACTCAGCAGGTATGATGGTGATTTGTCTTACCTTCAAAATATCAGAAGTTGATGCATCCACTAGCATGGGGTTTCCACATTTCTCTTGATACTCTTTTATTAAGGCTGTTGCATCATCAATGCTGTAGAAGGCAAATTGTTTTTCAACTTCACAACTGAAGTTTTTTAAAAAGCCAAGAATTTAGACTATCATCTGCACTGAAGTATAAAACAAGGTATAAAGCCACATCTTTGATGCTAGGTATGTCCTATATTTTCTTAGAGGAACACAAGTCATAACAAGTCTGGTGTTTTCACCCATGACTGTTAGTAAAACCCATATACTAGATATTCAATAAGTATTTGTTAATTCCTATCATGTTCTGACTGCAGGATAAGTGGTAACAAAGTAACTTGGAGTGCTGAAGACTAAGTATTTGGGGTGTAAAAGTCAAAGTAGCTGTGCATGAGCACAGGTGCCATGCATCACTGATTGCTGATTTAGCACCGCCCTGCCTTTGATTCAGCGACAATATTTAAGTGTAACCTCAGAGGTACTTCTAACTCTAGAAGGGCTCACGGGGCAGTTCCCTCCTGAATCTTGACTACAGGCAGGTTGTTTTTTCTAAGAAGTTTTCTTGCTGCTGAAGCTGTGACTCTGCTATGCTGCTGTGCTGAGCTCACCTGAAGGTAAGGATAAACTGATTCAAAGCAAAAGCATTTGCTGTTTCAGTCAGATTAAATTTGGTTAAAATTGCAGAAATAATCTGCTTTGTCTGTGGCTCAAACTACTTTGTGAAACTGTCCTCTATGTATGCAAAATAGCAAGGTGAGATTTTTCTTGGTTTTAAGGTTTTTTTTTTTTTTAATTTAGCAATATTTCCAAAACTCTTAAGTGCTTAAGATTCTTAAATAATGAAAAATCTCCAGGACCTTAATTAAACTCAAAACCAAAATAAGGGAAGATTCAGTTTCTGTGACTAGTATCAGCAATGCATCATCTGTTTTACTTTCTATTAACCTACCAGTTCTTGCTGGTAAAATAATCCACTAGTTCTTTAATTCGGTGAGTGTTCATCAATCGTTGCTTCAACAGTGAAAAATACTTAGTTTTCAAAAATTTATCATATAGCTTCTCATTTATGATGCTGTCCAAAATCAAAGATCTAATCTGGAAAGTAATAGATAAAATTTTAATAATGGAAAGGTATTAACATTGAGAAGCTTAATCCTTAAATATGAGGGATTAGATTCTTCTTGCTTGATTACTGTAATAAGCAGAACTTTTTAAAATTAACTTTGGATAGTGGAGTGAGTTAAGAATATTGCCATTAGGAAATCAAGGGAATGTAAAAGAGAATACCATTTTGTGAGCCCTTTGGCTTTTTTGTGCAACATATTTAGAAAAATAAAGTACTCCTGCTGCAAACAATGCTGTCCTACAAATAGAGATGGTCTGTAATGCAGCAGTGTATTAATGTTGGTCAACTGGCCAGTATTTTTTATGAAAATGCAGAAATGCTTGGAGATGTTGCTATATTTTATAAAAACTGATACATGCTGAGGTCAGGGTGGCAAAGAGAGGTTTTATGTATGCATCAAGAAAATCTGCAAGTCAAAGCTAAGAGAAAGAGGTGTTATTTGTTTACCTGAGAAGCAAATGCCACCACCTCTCCAGTGTTCATATGTTCATCTATTTGTTGCAGTATAGTTTCAGTGTTACATGTTGAAAGGAAATTACATTTAACTCCAAAAGAGTACTTTGCTGTAGTTGTTATCATAGACTTCAACTGTCATTGTCAGCTGATTAAATTTCTTACACTAGTGCTATGGCTTGGGAGAAATCTTCTGAGCTTGAACTTTAAACAAAGGGAAATTTAAGGTCCTCTTACTTGTGCCAGTGTTGACAGAACTGGGAGCAGCCTATTGTGCTTAATTAGGGAGAATGACATGGAGCATAAAGTCATGGAAATGAACAAGAAAGGAAACAGTGACTATGCACAACTATTGCTTTAAGGCAAATTGTTTATGTCAGAACATGTGATGTGTATGAAGCAACTTTCTAGAGATGTGAGCTTATGAACTTCAAACATTTGTTTGAAGCTTCTCTGCTTCTGAAGGATTCTGTGCTTCTCTTGCAAGCTGCTGGAGACTAGCCCACTAACAGCTCCTCAACTTCACACTGCTTTGGCCTATAGGCTTTTTCCCATTCCCTCCATTTTCATGCATACTCCATAAAACCATAAAAAACAAAGGGATACAGGGTAAGGTAATACTTTAGTAAATGTTTGCAGGAATATTGGAATTGCCTGAGGCCTCTGCTGTGCATTACAGGTCTCAACTCTGGGAGAGGGTGGGATCCGTAAAACAGTTTCTAATGCACAGAGGGCAAAGTCATATGACAAAGCTGCTGAGAATGACTTGTGTGGGTTGTGGTGTTTTTTGGGGAAATGTTCACATAATTCCTTTCAGAAGCAGAAATTTAGGGCAATAACCACTGGAGTGCATGGTGCTGAGCAGCTGGCTCTACAGCAATGTGTTCAAATGAGTTAGAAGATACCATCTTTCAGTCTCTGTTGAAAATAACATGGTTAAATGAATTTCCTTTGGGCACCAGAAACACATTTCTTGTTACCTGGATTTGCTGTTCTCGTTTCTCAGACTGAGGAATCAGCAACAGGCATCCCAAAGCAAAAGCTGGGAGGTCCAGCTGTGCATACTGTTTAGCTATTCCCATGACATCCAAGTCGGCCAGAACAGGACACCTTGAGAAGATTAGGAGGAAAGTTCTCAGCTACAAGATATATAGCTAGGTATCTGAATATTTGCAGTAAAAATGCTTTTAAGATGGACAATTTCTTGTAACCTTTTCTTCAGAATGGGACAACCAATATTAGTTGAAGTTTCACAGAATACAAGTTTTCTAGTTAAAACAAAAACAACAAAAAAGTCACCCTTCCAAAGTTTAACTCTTTCTAAACACTCCAAGCCCTATTTTGAGCTGAAGTGTTGGCAACTGTCCTGAGTATTGCTTTGCATGTTTCAGGATGTTAGAGTGATTACAAAGGGGAGATTCCCACTCAAACCAATGTAACATCTACTTACTTCAGCAGAATCACAAAACATTCACAGCATTCCTCCAGCTGCTTAGGACTTGGTGGACATGAAGCTGAAAGATAAATGAGTAAAACCATGATAAAGTGGCTGTGTAACAAAGATACTATAGAAGCATGGCAGATAGCTGTTAATTAACATACCTGCAAGAAATGGTGACAAAACTACTCTTTGCCAGGCTCGACTGAAGATGGGAATCTGTTGA